TACGGAAAAGGAAACCCCAAAACCCCAAAACCCCTCGAGGAAGAATATTTTCATACTTTGATAAGAAAAATAATTAATTTTATTTCAAAAGCTTGATTAGATTATGATTATATATTTAGAGCTATAATGATAACAATTTCTCTTAAGTCTATTATAATCACTATAATATGCCAGTCTTTTTATTTGTCATCGCAGCCGCCAAAGATAATAATGAGGTATTAATAGCCTGCATTATAGTCTTATTTAGAGGTATTCCAAGAATACGGATTGGATTGTAAAGTTACTCTTTATCTAATCTATCCTAAATAATTTCTAAAACATCCATTGATCTATTTAAAATCCTCATACAATGCTTTTAACCAAAATCCTAATGTATATACTAGAAATACAGCTAAGCATCTTTAAAAGTTTTATTTAGCAAATTGTTGCATTTAATCTGAACTGGAGACATTATTCTGTCCCAATCTACTATCAACCTTTCAAGAACATTTCTTAATTCAGATACTCTTAGAATCTACTTAGTTGTAATTTCATTGATAATCGCTCCAGTATAGAACATGCAATAGATAAAGTAAAAGAAGTTTAATAATTCGAAGGCACCCATTACAACAAGAGGAGTACTGAATTTGAAGTCCAACACCTCAAAAAACCAGCATAGATAAAAGGCTCCAAATGCTGAATATACAATAAGGTAAACACTAGCATAGAGTTCTATTCTGATAGTGAATCTCCTCCCTACATCAAGAATCATTATTCTCATGTCCATCCAAGATAATAATGTTTGAGGGTCAAAGTAATTCAACAATGGGAATACCTTTTCATATTTTTTAAGTTTAAATCGATTCGGCTCTAAGATTGCTTCCATGAGTTTCATAGTGAATTTCTTTCTTTTCATATCTATGACACCGATTTCAAGAAATACCAAGTTGACATAATATATCAAGAAGTTTGTAATGAATAGAAGTATCGTATAGACCCAAAACAATGGGCTATAATATTTCTTAAATTGAATCTCATCAATATGCTCTGAATTTAAGGTATTAAGCAAATTTATCACAAAGGGAAGCAAAGCATGAATTAGAGAGACTATCATAATTATGTTTTTACTCAATATTTTAGTTAATACCTTTGATGAGAGTAATAATTCTTTGAGGAATAATCTACCAGAAGTAACCCTGTAAAGATCAGCTTTTTCAGGTATCTCTAGGAAGGAATGTTTTTCCTCAAAAAATTTATTTTTTTCATTTATTATTTTTGGAGATGGAGCTACTATACTATTTCTTCCACTTGATCTTAAAGTAATTTTTTAAGAAGCTTAGACAAGCAGATTGACATAAAAGTTCACTTTCTTTTTTTCAAGCTCAAAGTCATACTCTTTATTTTTGTGATAATCATAGTCAGAAAACCTCTATAAATATTCTTCATTTATTTTAACCAGAAATTTAAAATGAAACAGGCCATTTTCAACCTCATTTCTGATCATACTATGTTTAATCTCACCATCTAATTAGTTAGGTCGAATATCTCTCCAACCTACTCCCAAAAATTCATTGCTATTCTCATCCTATGTGAAGATCTTTTCAGATTATAACTATATTCTTGAATCAGTCGTAGTAGCATATCTAATAGCTACTATAAAGCATCGCATTAGTGTAACAATTAAAGCCATTAATATTTCCACTGGTTCAAGTATTTCATCTTTATCCAATATTAAATTTGAATAAAAAGCAATGTTAAGGAATAACCAATGAAATGTTTAAAAGAAAGAAGATGTACTGAATCCATAAAAACCCATATTTCTTTAGAAAGTTAGATTCTCAAAGGGAAGTAAGAATATGAATGTCAAGGGGCCTGTTATAAAGAAATAGAGGAAGTGATAAGCAAAGAACTTGAAGAATCTTCCAATTTTAAAGTAGACGTAGCTATCTGAAATAATCATATCCTCGATATTAAATGGGTCATTACAAAGCTTTATCATTTCCTTTTTCATTTTTATAAATAACTCTTCGCATGTCAGATTTTCTACTTTATTTGAATTTCTAGATTAAATTAGGTGTAGATTAAGATTCTTTTTGTTTTGAGACCTTTTTCTACTTAGTGCTTTAGTACTTAGATATTGAAGATGTTATCCAGTGTTTTCAAGATCATCAGGACCTTCATCTAGATTACTATCGTTTGACATACTATCATCCCATTTCTGTTTTTCAGTAAATTCTTTCATTTCATTTAGAATATCTCTTTCAATGTCATATCTACCTGAGCCTGAGTTTTTACTTGTTTATAGTTAAGGAGCACTTGTTTGATCGTTAGATAGCACTCTCTCCAATTCTGATGATATTTCCATGTTTAAATTATTAATTGTTCTTTTTGAGGCTTCGATTTAAATAAAATTTGATTAGCTAATATACTTTTTATTTAAATATTAATTTGACCTTCATTTTAAATACGTAATTAACTTTTTCTATCGAAAATCTCTCATTCGGGGTTTTGGGGTTTTGGGG